GGGTACCCCATGTGGTCCCACCCCAGGGGCAGAAAAACAGTGTGGAAACGGGTTCATAACTTGGGCGTTAACCTCAGGAGTGGGTGGTGGGCACTGTTGGGAGGCGTTGTTCCTTCCTGTATTATCATCAAAGACGCTTTCTGGAGGCTCCTGGAGCCTTGGGTTTCCCTTGAAAGGCTTGCGTCTTGGGCTTTTGAAAATAAGGGGTACGTCTGCCCCCTTGGAACCTAGAGTTACCCCCGGACCTATTCCTGAAGGGGCCAGGGAAGGAGTTCCCAAAGGGTCTCCGGTAGGAAGAGGGAGAGTGCCATCTATTCTTGGGCTGGGAGTAAGGCTGCCAAGTGTAGCCGAATTTTGACGCAGACTGCCTGACGTCTTGTTTTTGCTTCATGCGGTCATCAGTGTTAGGGTTGAAGAGTCCCTCTTCGTGGAAGGGGAGATCTTCTGCTAAGGCTTTTCCCTCCTCCGAGAGGTTGGCCGCCCGCAACCATGCGTGGCGTCTTATGGAAGTGGCGGTGGCAAACAGGTTGCCCGCCGCTTCCGCCATGTGCTTCGCGAAGTCCTTTTGGGCTTTGGACAACACTATCGCTTCGCCTTGTAAGGCTTTGGGAAGGCGCTGGGCCTCTCGCGGGAGAGATTCAATGTGGGTTAGCATCCTGTTCCAAAGGAACGTTTGATATCCACTCATATAAGTCGCGTAATGCGACATGCGAGTGAACAGGCTAGCTGAGAAGTAAGCCTTTTTCCCTAGTGTGTCCAGTTTCCTGCCCTCTCTATCTGGTGGTGTGGTCACAGAGTTCTTGGGGCGTTTAGTTTTGATGACTTCAGCCACTACTGTGTTTGGTTTCGGAGGAGCCATCACCCACTTAGCGTTGGATAGTTCAATTTTATACATGGAGTCCAAACGCCTAGGGACCGCCGGTACCGATGACGGTGGCATATCTACAATCTTAGCTAGTTTTAGAAGGTAGGGTAACATAGGGAGGGCTGAGGAGGGGGTGGCATTCTGCTCCTCGGATGGGAACATTGGATCTTCTATGTGCTCGGGTGGTTTGGGGGCGGGAATATCAAGTGCTCTTATCATCCGATCTATAAGTGCAGCAAACTTATTAAAATCGGGGGGCAGCACTGAGGCATCATCAGTCTCCATTTGTTGTTGGGGATCTAGGGGCTCAGCATCCGAGCCGCTGTCTCCCAGTTCTATACCCTCGTGGGTCGGATCTCGGGGGGTTCCTATCGGAGTGACGGCTATGGCCATGTCAAGCTGGGTGGGTTCTACAACACCATCGTGGCCTAAGGGTTGGTCCGTCGCTAGGGGGTCCCCAGAGGATCTACACAGTGAGAGGTCAACACAATCTGAAGGTCTACACAAAGAGCGGTCAACACAGTTAATATTAGTAGAGCGCCCCACAGGCAGTGTCCCAGTTTGTCTGTCTAAAGGATAGCCAGTACAATCATAGTTTGTGTGTCTGCTAGGAGAGGTCCGGCCAGGACCAGCGGCAATACCTGCAGGCAAGGGAGCGTTCGCTGCCGTCGCTGTCCCAGTCACTGAGAGGGCAGGAGGGGCGGCTCGAGTTGGGGCGGCAGCGGGTATGCCCTGGCGTGGGGCTTCAGGCTGTAGGCCCCTTGATGCAGTAGGTAAGAAGGCCGCTTCCATAGAGAGCGGTATCGGGGCCGGAACAAAGACCAATTGGCCCGATGGGCCCATCTGCCAGTAGCCTGGAGGTTGGGGAGGCCTGGGCCTGTAGCGCCTCCCGGACCTGGAGCGCACGGTACGGGAGCGTCGGTGGCGTCTCGAGCAGGTCGAGGAGGAGGAGGAGGATGAGGAGGAGGAGGTTGAAGAGGAGGAGCGACGGGAGGAGCGCCTGGAAGAGGGACCACCCCTAGAGGAAGAGCGGTACCGTCGGCGTCGAGATCTCTTGCTTCGTCGGGATGGGGAGCGGGAGCGTCTCGGATGTCTCGCCGGGCGGCTGTGTCCCTGCGGCGGGCAACCCGTCTCGTGGTTGGTCTGGGAAGGCGGGGTTTGCGCAGCCGCAACAGACAGGGAGGGTGCATCCCCTGTTATCCCTCCCATAGCCATGGGGGGGCTCAGGCTCGTCGGTCCCGCGTCTCCGGCCGGAGGAAAATCCCGCGGGATCGGGGAGATCAGCTCTCTGGATAGAGCCTCCTCAGGTAGCATGGGAGCATTAAATATGCCCCCGAAGGCCTGGCTGCCCGACGCGATCGGCTCCTGGGCAAGTGCCGGAGTCAAGGCCCCTCCGTGCTGCATAGGCTCCTCCATAGGAGTATCGTCTGGTCTCTCCCGGGGGACCTCAGGAGGCCGCAGTCTCTCGGGAGGCGAGAGAACAGGCATCGCCGGAGTGAGAGAGGCGGAGGTGCCCGGGTCTCCCTGCGCTGGAAACGGGGAGCGAACCGGAGCTTGTCCTGCAGCCATGGTATTTACCGCCAGGGGGGGCCCTTGTTCTCCTTGAACAGTCAAGGGGGAAGGGAGGGCGGGGGCGGTTGAGGGGTTTCCCGCTCTTTTAGATGCCGCCTTTTTACTCTGGATTTTCTGGCGGCCATCTTTCTGAGCGCCATCCTTGGAAGCCTTTTGCTTCTTCTTCGCCAGGCCGGCAGGCAGGCCCAAAAAGGATGCCCCGGAGGCAGGCGAGGAGGTCTTTTGAGAAGTGGCTGGCGGCGGCAAAAGTGCCCTCTCATAYAGCGCCGCTTTAAGACGAACRTCCCGGTTCTTCCTCGTTTGAGGGGTAAAGGCCATGCAAATGGCACAGGACTGAGTCAGATGGCCCTCACCAAGGCAGGCCAGACAGAGGGAGTGTCCGTCCATGTCTGGGTAGGTATTTGGGCATTTTAAGCATTTTTTAAAAGAAGTAGTGGCCATCGTGCCAAATAAGAGCACAGATTGGTCGGATAGTCGGCAGTCCGGGTCAAAATCCAAGTTTAGCAGTCGGTCCGGGGATCAGGCAATATCGTAGTCAAAGGTCAGTCCAGTCACAGGTCAAGTTCAGCAGTCAGTCCAAAGGATCAGGCAGTATCTTAGTCAAAAAACAGTCCAGTCAAAGTCCAAAGAAACGATCTAAGAATGCTCGCAAGGAGAGAGGTTCTCAAGCTGTCTTTG